GGGGGGGGGGGGGAAAGCAACTCAGCCTCTGGTGTGTGTTTTCATATATATATATATTTTATATATATATAAAAATATAACTAACATTTGGGGGAGTGATTTTTCTCCTAATATTTTTTTATAATGTTTCTTTTTTTCTACTATAAATACTTGTACAGTTGGAATATTAATATATACCTGCAGTGGTAGAGCTCAGCGCCAGGTGATGCTCACTTGAAAGACGTGTATTTTGTATTTAAGGGACTTTTGTTTTGTATCATATGCAACTGCAACAGATTGTTTGACTTGGACGGGGGCTGCTCTTCCCCTCCGTGTAATTAATAAAAGTACTAACGATGAGGAGCCCTCCATGCTCAGCCATTCTCCGACACGGGAGCATCCCAGAGCTGAGGGATGTGTCGCGTTGTGGGGCTACGGGGCCAGGGGTCGGGCTGGGGAGCCGCGGGCACCCTCGTGCTGCCGGGCCAGGTCAGGGGCTGGTGCCCAGCCTCGTCCCTGGGGTGAAGGTCCTGCGGGACTCGTGCGGCTCCAGCTGCTCGGTCTGCAGCCAGCCCTTCACCTTCTCCTGGAAGGAGGCGGTGGTGAGGGTGTAGAGGAGGGGGTTCAGGGCGCTGTTGATGGGCAGGATGAAGATGACCACCCAAGAGGTGACAGTGCCTGTGCCAACAAGGACACGACGTTAAGCGGCCAACGTGGCAAAGCTGTTTGTGAGCCCAGGGCTGGATGGGCAACCCCCATGGGGGGGTCGTGGCTGCTGCTCCCCGGGGAGGGGCAGGGAAACCAGTAACACTCCCCATCTCCTCTCGCAGCCCAGCGCCGGCCGTGGTGGTGGGCTCTGCTTTGGGGCCTTGCGGGGGGAAGGGGGGGTTCACCTGGTATCTCCACCTGCAGCAGGGAGAGCAGCTTGAGGAGGAAGATGGGGATCCAGCAGAGAGCATCGGTGAAGACGATGAAGAAGAACCGCTTCGCAATGGCGACCTCCCGCGAGCAGACGCCTCTCTCCGCAGTTTTGGATGCAGTGATGTGGATGGAGTAGAACATGCCGGAGTAGGCGAAGACGATGGTGATGAAGGCTGCGAGATTCAAGCCTGGAGAGGAAGGAACCTTGCTCTGAGCTCAGGCAAAGCGCAAACCTTGCCAGTCAGGATCGGCAGCAGCAGGACTACTCCTGCTTCTATCACTAGAGGGGGCAGAGACAGCGGCCCTGGCGAGTCCTGCGTCCAGCCTTAGCCCAGGGATGCCCAGGGCCAGGGCCAGGCTGGAGCAGGGACCTGCCCCCGAGCCCGGGACGGAGGGCAGAGTTGGCACCCCATCTTACAGGGGCCCAGCGGGATGGAAGTGACCCGTTAAGTCAGAATCACAGAATGGTTCTAGTTCCACCCCCTGCCCCGGGCAGGGCCACCTTCCCCCAGCCCAGGTTGCCCAAAGCCCCGTCCAACCTGGCCTTGAGCCCTTCCAGGGAGGGGGCAGCCACAGCTTCTCTGGGCAGCCTGTGCCAGGGCCTCACCCCCTCACAGGGCACAATTTCTGCCTTAGATCTCACCTAAATCTCTCCTCTGTCAGTTTAAAACCATCACCCCTCATCCTATCCCTCCCCCTGATGATGAGTCCCTCCCCCCGTTCCTGCAGCCCCTTTCAGCCCTGGGAGGCTGCTCTAAGGTCTCCCCGGAGCCTTCTCTCCTCCAGCTGAACCCCCCAACTCTCCCAGCCTGTCCTCACAGGGGGGCTCCAACCCCCCCAGCATCTCCGTGGCCTCCTCTGGCCCCGCTCGAGCAGGTCTGTGTCCTTCTGCTGTTGGTGCCCCCAAGCTGGACCCAGCCCTGCAGGGGGGTCTCCCAGAGTGGAGCAGAGGGGAGCATGCCGCCCTGTGCCCACCCTGCTCTGGGTGCAGCCCAGCACATGAGTGTCCTCCTTGGGGCTGCTCTCCATCCACTCCTCGCCCAGCCTGTTCCTGCTGATGGAGGCCATGGGGGCTCTCATGGCACCCGGGACCCCCCTGCTCCCACCTGGGAAGCCTGTCCTGCCCCACATCGTCCCCATCCCCAGGTCTCGAGGTGGCCTTACCCAGGTAGATGGTGGCAGAGTAGCCGCGGGCACTGGGCCGCTCGCCCAGGTCGGACTGCAGCGGGAAGCACACCCCGTTCCTCCCGTAGTAGTTCCCAAAGGTCTCCTTGCACCAGAGGGGGACGATGCTGAGGGAGAAGCCCAGAAGCCAAATGGCCACTAGCACCGAGACAGTCTGCTTCTTGCCAGCTCGGTGGTGGCTGAACGGGAAAACAATGCAGAAGTATTTCTCCAGAGTCATGTAGGTCAGCAGCAGGACTGACACCTCGGAGGAGAGCGTGGCCAGGCCGCCCACCAGCTGGCACGGGAGGCTGCCCATCCAGCCCCGGGCGTGCTTGTTGTATTCACCCGCGAACTTGAGGTCAAAGGCTCCGATGATGAAGAGGTAGATGCCCATCAGGCCGTCTGCACCTGGGAGGGATCAGAAAAGAGCACCCGCGGGCAAATGTAGCTTTTGTATCAGCCCCGTGGCCATAAAACCATCACAGAGCCTCTGTGACGGCCTGGGCAGCCTTCAGCTTTATACATCTATAACTATCCTTATAAAAATATGGAAGAGCTGCCCGCGGGTGCCTGTGAGCACAGACCCGGGGGCAGGGGCCGAGGTGCCCCAGGCACAGAGGGATGCCCAGAAACCCAGCACAAGGAGAAAGAATGCAGCAATGGGGCCCCGGCTGCACCGCACAGTGCTGGCTTCCACCGGACAGGCCCTCCCGGGGGGTGCCAGGGGGCAGCTCGTCCGCCCGGTTCCCTCCACACCCCCCGCCGCCAGCTCACAGCACAGGGACTTGATGGCCATGGCGTGCCGGCTGTTCTCGGCCACGAGGAGGGACCGCAGGCAGATGACGGCGAGGTTGCTGAAGCAGGTGAGGCAGGCGATGACCCAGACGAAGACCCGCAGGATGACGTTGGCCAGGAGGCGCTCGAAGGAGGAGATGCCGTCGGTGTTGGGCTTGCAGCTGCGGACGTGGGGCGCGTAGCTGCAGTACTGGAACTTCTTGAAGTAGCTGTCGGGTCGGGGCAGAAGGTTTCCTGGTGTGACCACGGAGGCAGCAAGCACAGTCGGGCATGCACAGCCCCTGTGCCTGCCCCCAGCCCCCTGGCCACGTTTTACCCTGTCTGGGTGGAGAAGGGCCCCCAGAGCCTGGGGACTCACACAGAGCCGGGGCGGGGAGATGGGGCAGCCGTGAGGCGGGGAGGGAGCGGGGACGGGCGATGCCAGCACCCAGCCCTCCCTGCGATGGCACCCGGGGTGGGCACAGGGACCCACAGGGGACACGGAGCGTGGTGGGGGCTGAGCGAGGGGCTCCCCGTTTGCCCCCAGTTGCAGTTGGGCTCAGACAAGCAACACCCTGAAGCCTTCGCAAAACTGGCTGGAGGCACCCAGAGCTTTTTGGATCATGTACCACAGTCACGCTCTTAACTCTGGCGCTGTCAGCACTGCCGACTGATAAATATGAGTGTTTTCCTCCAACCCACGATTCTTACAAACTAACATTTAAAAATCAATCTCTTATTCAAATCCTTCAAGTTCCATTAACAGGTATTCACATTTTTTTTCCCCTGCCTATTATTTTAGATTAGTCTTTTCAAGCCTTATAAAAGCCAATCCATATAAGCTTAGCTAATCTCTACATTAGAAAGTGGCCACAAAACTGCAACGCGAGGCTCATTTCCGCTTAATTATAGATAAAAGGAGCCAACACGATTGCTTATTAGGAAGTCAGGTAGAAAATGTACCATATTTATAGTGCAAACAGACCAATTACAGAAAGGAAGATGCACGGTTGCCTTTCATTACAGCTTCTTTAAAATGTGCATCTGGAGAAAATGAATGATTTTTTTTTTTTCCCCATCCAAAGAGAAGCTCCCAGCTGGCTGCGTGCTCCTGCTCCCACCCTGTGCGCGGTGCCCACCCAGCCTGGCTCGCTGCACAGCTCTGGGGTTCTTAGGTGATCAGCTCAGACCCAAGCAAAAGGGACTTTAATGGGATTAATTAACCCCAGCTCAGCACGCAGCCTGACATGCCTGGGCCTGGCCGAATCGCCTCGCCCACCCCGCCGATGCAGCGTGAACCTTCAGAAATACAGATCATGCTCGGCTGGGGCCCTCGCGCTCTGCAAACCGCTCCCCTTGTTCTACGTAAGCCCCAGCTTTGGGAGACCCTCTCGCCCCAGGGGGATTTAAACAGCATCGTCGTGCTCAGGGCCTTCCCGTGGGCTGAAATGACCAGCTCGTGGCTGGAGGAGTGAACTGGTTTCCCTCCCAGCACCCTCGGACATGGGTGTTGGGGCGGCAGCAGCCCCCGGCACCCCCTCCACTCACATGTGGGAGAGGTTGGCCAGCTTCTGGAAGGTCAGGTTGTGGATGTTGGGGATCTCCAGCCCTTCCAGGCTCCTGCAAAAGGAAACCAGAGCAGGGGATGCTGTGGGCGGCCCCAGGCTGGGGCTGGCGGAGGCAGCGCTGTAGGGTCGGGGACGCTGCAGGACTCACAGGGAGCGTAGCTGGGGCAGGCTCTCAAACTGGCCGGGGAAGATCTCCTTCAAGGGGTTGTAGGAAATATTCCTGGAAAGAGATGAGCCTTTGGTATTTTTCCCACCTGGAAGTGAGAGCCAGGGGGTGGCTTTCTGTGCCTTCCCCCCCCCGGATGGGTACACAGCCCTGAAGCAGAGGGTCTGCGATGGCAGCAGGCGGACCTGCCGGCAGGGAGCCCGTCCTGCCGGGGCCACCACAGCTCTGGTGGGCAACCAGCCCGTGCAGCAAGGCCGCTTACCCAACGTGATGCAGGGGAAAAGGGGGACCCCCCCGGGGCAGCGCAGCCCCAGTACTCACAGCTGCTGGAGCTCAGCCAGGCCGTTAAACAGAGAGGAGGGGAGCTGC